AAGTTTCCCTACAAGAAGGTAAAGGCAAGAACCCCAGTGATGCAATGAACCACTGTCTTCCCATTTCCTCCCAGCCTCCAAACTTCTTTTAAGCCTCCCAGGGAAATTGGACACCCTTTATTATACAAGTTCTAGTGGGCAAGGAAGATTTACTAGTATGAAATTCTAAAACTGGACGAGTTCCTTGATTAGCATGTTCATTTAAACCATAGTGCATGTATTTGACAGACTACAATCTGTAACAACCTTATAAACACCTCCTATGGTTACAATAACTATTACTGCGTGGTCAAGATCTTCAATGGCAGGTGCATTTGCAAAAGCTGTAATCCAATAAATCTCACAACAAAAGCAAAAACTACATAAAAGACTTTTACTCAGAATGAGAAAACTGCACATGGATCTGTCACATTACCTTTGTAAGTAGTTACATAACAGCAGGTTCCGTCCACCTTTTCAGTAGGAACTGCACTGTATACATCTGCCTCTATTGCCTTTGCAGTTATAGTTTCAGTTGCCACAACTTTAAAGGGCTGAAAAAAAGACAAGTATTTTAAACCCTCGTGGCTAGATTACTGCCGCCTTCTGATGAGGATTCCTGCTCCTGACAACTGGACTCTATAAGCCCAGTCTTACTCATCCTATTCCTGATTTTAATTCCACTGAAGTACATCAATGTTTCTTCAAGACATGATAGCTTGGAAAATGCTCTAAGACAAAAGAAGAAAGACAATCCCTTTGCAAACTCTCTCCGCCTTTTCCACTCTTGATTAGCATTTAGAGATAATTGTGCCTTTTTATGTGCTCCAAGTAGTGCATATACACTGGTAGAGTTCCAGTCCAGCACTGCAGTATCTGCAGGTGTGCATTCCTGTATGACAACGGCAACAGAAATTCATCCTGATGAGCTGCTCTGAGCTCTCAGTCTGGAGCTGAAAGCCAACAGCACCATTTTATGCCATGAAATACACTGGCCAGTGCAACACAACGTAGCAAAAGCATCCTGGTATTAAATACTTGGTATCAGGGCTGCCAACTAAACAGTCTTTCACTTCAAAAGAGCAAAGACACAAGTGATCTAGGTGACTGAAACAAACAGCCAGCCACAACTAGTCCACATTTCTAGGTGGGATTCTGTAACAGTGTCACTGTAAGTATGTCATCAGTTGTGTTTGGATTCAAATGTTCCTGCATAATCATCACCCCTCCCTCCTCTCTCCCCAGGCACCTTTAAATTGTATGTCCCAAAACAGAACTCTGAATTCATAAAATCAGAACCTTCTACAGGCTTTTACTGGGTTAAATGGCTGTTTTCTAGTTTAGGAATCAGATTTGTAACCATCTACAAAGACTTCATGAAGATTACATGAAAAGGAAAGTTTTCAGGGTAAGAGGAAAAAATTCCTATTGGTTTTCCGACCACCACCCCCCTTCTTTCCTAGCAAACAGAACCCGCTCTGGTACTCTTGCTTGCAGTTTGAAAAAAAGTAGAAATGACAGCATGTGCCAGTTCCAGACCTAATCCCCTGTTGGGTTCTTCCGTCTGAAGGAACAAATATATAGAAGAGACCCTTACATAGACATTATCATGATGGTGTTGCTACTCAGAGTTTAACAACTTAGTTACTGATGTTTTAGCAATCATTTCAGCTCTTCATTCCACAAGTCAATATTAAGGGATGAAAGTCACCCACGTGGATACAAATTCACCATGCAGCTTACAGCAGTAGGTGCTGTTACAAAAACCGGGGAAGACAGGTTGGAGGTCTATGGCTAGAGAGGTGAATTACCCCCCAGCCTGTCCTGACACTGCCATTTAGATCTCAGAAAGTCATAATGTTGACTGGCATTCGTTATTTTCCCCTATTAAATACTCCACGTATTACAGCCTCAAAGGAACTCTTCTCTCATAACCCTGCTACTGCCTGGATCACAACCAAAAAGAAAAAAAGAGAGAAAAACTTATTTATTCCCCACAAGGCTCACAGGTGCGCACGGCGAGACAGTTTACACAACTCCCAGTCTGGTGCCGGGAGCGGCCTCGTTCCTTGCCGTGACTGT